GAGCCAAAGGCAGTCGCTTAACCAACTGAGCCACCCAGGCGCCCGAGACAAAGTATCTTTAAAATCTAAATGACTACTAAAAAAAAGTTTTCTACTGTTTTTGTATTATTTTCTCTTTCTGTTTCTTTCTCTAGGGTGTCCGTAGAATCATTTAAGCAAGGAGTCCTGAGAGAACAACTGGCTAACTTGGCCACAAGACAGAAGAACCTTTTAGTTGTGGCAAAAAAACAGAAAAAAATTAGCCAGAAAATTCAAAACTATAAAAACATTACATCTTTGTCTGGTCCTAGTTTGAGGAATCTGCCATCCAGCTCAGAAATCACTAGTGAAAAGGACAGCCAAGAGCTTACCAGTCTGGAAAATTCATTGCAGCCCCAATCAGGTTCACTTTCTCCTGTAGGCCATATTTGTGGAAGCATGCAAGAAACACAGTTGTCTCTGGATATGTGGAATGGCAGCCAAAATACCAACACTTGTGTAAACTCAGAAACAGTGAGAAGAGAAGAATTTTCTGGAAATGAACTGAATTCTAAACAAAATGTCAATGACTGTACCTTGGATGGGTTATCAAAATCCAGACATTCAGATGGTAGTAAGAAGATTAAATTACCATCCCAACCTGTTGCCTTTATTACTCAAGAAGAACATTCGCAAAAAGAAAATGATCTTATAGAAACTCCAGCCAAAGGGCACAAATCCTATAGTAGTCCTTCAGCAGTAACTAGTACATTAAATATTTCAGAGACTACAAGCATACTTGCTGAAAATGATGCCCATCCATCGACTTTTATTTGCGATCAGGCTCCTACCAGTTGTGATCCAAAAAGAAGGAAGAGGAAAATAGCTTCCCAGCAACAACCTAGGGGGACATTAGAATCCCTGGCACATCAAGGGACTGATGCCTTCGGCAGCAGCAGTACTGGGTATCAGACGAAATCGTATCTTAAAAAATCAGCTTTTGCTGTTCCCCATGCTAGAGACAGTCAGAACTCCTCTTCCTCTGGGTGTGGCCGTCAACGTACAATAAGAAAGCCTTTAAACTACAGCACTAGGAAGAAATGTATGCAGATAAAGGATCTGATATTACTCGGAAGAATTAATCCAGGAAATAACATTCTGGAATTCAAAACACAGGTATCCTATTTTTTTCTCTAAAATCATGTAATTTTATAAATAAGTTAATAAAGGTTGCTCTCAAAAAGTGTAGGCTTTTAGCTCTAATTAGAGAAATAGTGTTTGGCTGGACTTCTTTTTTTTTTTTTTTTTTAAAGATTTATTTATTTATTTGAGAGAGCGAGAATGAGAGAGAGTACATGAGAGGGGGGAGGGTCAGAGGGAGAAGCAGGCTTCTCGCTGAGCAGGGAGCCCAATGTGGGACTCGACCCCGGGACTCGACCCCGGGACTCCAGGATCATGACCTGAGCGGAAGGCAGTTGCTTAACCAACTGAGCCACCCAGGCGCCCCTTGGCTGGGCTTCTTGAATGAAGGGATATGCCACTATGTTCTTAGTGAGTGAAATCATGTTTTTAGGATTGCTCTATACATTTTGGTCACAAGCACCTTTGGGCTCTGAGGACAGAATTAGTCAATTATATTGACTCAGGAAGGATTTAAGAACAGCATAAACATAATAAATTGGAGCTTTCTTTGGTTCCAGAGTTTAGGGAATTACTGCATACTGCTAAAGCTTCCCCTGATAAGGGATAGGAATAAATTCCTCTTCCATAGGAGCTCAATTTAGAAACAAGAAGTAACTTGGAATTTGGATAAATCTGACTCAATTAAAACAATATCACATAATGCATAAAAATAGAAAAGGAAAAAAATTGTTCTACTAGAAATACCTACAAAAGAGTTTTCCTCTCTCCTTTGCCCACATTCACTTTTTGAAAGAGGAATTCGGAGTGGCAGTGACTGCAGGAGTCCTAGAATGCTTCTTTGCTTAGGGATCACTGGTTGAACAGAAAGCAGTCCTGGCTAACCAGAATTTAATGTGAATGACCACTGTTTCTAGTCCTTCCATTTCTGGTTAATAAGGTTTTTCCTAATAAACTTTACTTATAAGTTAGGAGCAAAAAAAATTAATTTTAAAATTCCAAACAGTAGTGTAAAGACCAAGTTAGTAGCTTGATCTCAGGTCCCTTGATGTTCCTGTTTGCTTGCCTGTCAACCAGTTTATCATTAAGTAGTACCTACTTCAAATTAGCCAAAGCGACTCAGATTTTAGTTAGTAAATTAGTTATGTTAACTCAGATTTTGACAGTTGTGGCTATTTCTCTGGGTCAGCTATAATAAAATTTCAATATAACTTTTCATATTTTGACTATTTCTTAACAGCTTTATTGAGATATGATTAACATACACTACATGTATTTAAATTATGCAGTTTGACAGATTTTGACATATGTATACACCTGTGAAACCATGACCACAAACAAGGTAATGAACATATCCATCACCCCCAAAAGTTTCTTTTTGCCTTATTGTTTACCTCCTTCATACCCCTTTCTTCCCGAGCTCTAAACAATTACTGTTCTGCTTCTTGTCCCTGTACTTTAGCTTGCATGTCTAAGAATTCTGTAAAAATGGAATTACACCATATGTATTCATTTTTGTCTGGCTTCTTTTTTCTGAACATAATTATTTGAGAATCACCGCCATTAGAGCATATATAAGTAGTTTAATTCCTTTTTTATTGTTGTGTAGTGTGTAGAACAAACTACAGTTCATTTGTCATTTCATCTGTGATAGACATTTAGGTTGTTTCCAGTTGTTGACTATCACAAATAAAACTACTATGAACATTGGTGTACAAATTTTGGTATGACACAGGCTTTTGCTTTTCTTGGGTAAATACATAGGAGTGGAGTGGCTGGATAAAATATATGGTAAGTATATATTTAACTTTTTAAGAAACTGCCAAAGTTGTTTGTAACATATTACATTCCCACCAGCTGTGTATGAGTATTCTAGTTCCTCCACATTCCTACTTAGCTAACACTTAGTATGATCAATCTGTTAATTTTAGCCATATGACATGTAATGTAGATGTATGTATGTAATATGTATGTATGTGTAATAGTTTATCATTGTGGTTTTAATTTGCATTTAATAATGATTAGTTATGTTGAGTATCTTTTCATATGCTATTTGTCATCCATATTTATTCTTTGGTGAAGCTTTTTTTCAAATATTTGCCCATTTTTTAATTAGTTGCTTGTTCTCTTGTTTTGATATTTGTTTTGATATATTTTGGATATAAGTCCTTTATCAAACGTATACTTTGCAAATATCTTCTCCTAGTGTATGGCTTGTCTTTTCATTCTCTCAAAATTATCTTATAAAGAACAGAAGTTTAAAATTTTGACGTAGTCCAACTTAGCAATTTGCTCTTTCACTGATTATGTTTTTAGTATCATATCTAAGAATTCTTTGTCTAACCCAAGGTCACAAAGATTTTCTCCTAGAATTTAGGTTTATGATCCATTAGTTTTTGTATGTGGTACAAAGTAGGATCCCCATTCATATTTTTAAATTTGGATATTTAATGCTTCCAGCAACATGTGTTGAAAAAATTACCCTCTGTTGAATTGTCTTTGCACCTTTGTAGAAAATTATTTGTTCCATACATGTGCCTATTTCTGGACTCCCTATTCTGTTTAACTTATCTATTTGTCTGTCTTACTATGAATACCATCTTGATTGTATAGCTCTATAATAAGTGTTAGAATCAGTAACACTGATTGTACAGTTACTACACAGTAGTGTTGGGGCACCTGGGTGGCTCAGTCGGTTAAGCAGCTGACTCTTGGTTTCAGCTCAGGTCATGATCTCAGAGTCATAAGATTGAGCCCTACGTCAGGCTCCATCCCTCTCCCTCCCCCTCTGCCCCTCTCCCTGCTCATGCATGCACACCCACTCTCTCAAATAAATAAATAAAATCTTTTCTAAAAAATCAGGTAGTGTTAGTCCTCCAATTTTGTTCTCCCTTTTCTAAAGTGTTTTGGCTATTCTAGGTCATTTGCAATCCCATATGAATTTTAGAGTGAGTTTTTCAGTTTCTTTTTTTAAAAAAGGGGTGCTATTATTTTTAATGGTATTGAGTTGAATCTGTAATTTTGAGACAAATGACATGCTTTTAGCAATATTAAGTTGTCTAAACCATGAACATGATATAGCTCTTGTTAATTTAGGTCTTCTCTTTTTTTCCCAGCAGTTGTAGAAGTCAATATAAAGGTCTTTCACGTCTTTTATCAGATTTATCCCTAAGTATTTCATGTTTTTGATAGTATTATATATGACATTTTTTAAGTTTTAATTTTTGGTTGTTTATTGCTAATAGGTAGAAATACAATTGTTTTTTGTATTTTGAGATGTTATCATACAACCTTGCTAAACTCACTTACTACTTCCTATAAATTTTTGGAGATTTCATTGGATTCTCTATATAGATGATCATGTTGTCTATAAATAAAGACAGTTTTACTTCTTTCTTTTCCATTGTGAATGCTTTTTATTTCTTTTTTGGATGCACTAGCTAAAACCTCCAGTACAGTGTTGAAATAAAATAATAAGATCAAACTTCTATTTTTTTTCCCTAAAACTATGTTTCTTAGAAAAAATTTAGTCTTTCACTGTTAAATACAATGCTAGCTGTAGGTTTTCTCATAAATGCCCTTAATCAGGCTGAGTAAGTTCTTTCTTTTCCTAGTTTCTTGAATGTTTTTATCAGAAGGGGTATTAGATTTTGTCAGATGTTCTTTCCACATATATTGAGATGATCATGTGGATTTTGGTTTGCATTCTATTGATATATTGTATAACATTATTTGATCTTTGGATATTAAACCATCCTTGCATTCCTGGGAAAGCAGACAAATCATACTTGGTCATGGTATGTAATTCTTTTTATATGTTGCTGGATTTGGCTTTCTAGTAGGCTGTTGAGGATTTTTGCATCCATATTTATTGAAGATATTGATCTGTAGTTTTCTTGTATTTGTCTGGTTTGGTATTAAGGTAATACTTGTCTCACAAAAGTGTTTCTCCTTTTCTATCTTTTGGAATATTGGTAATACAGAATACTGGTTTTAAGTCTTCTTTAAATGTTTGAGAGTAATCAGCAATGAAGCCATCTGTACTGGGATTTTTTTTTGTAGATAGTTTTTTTGTGTTAATTCAGTCTCTTTACTTACAGGTTTTTTCAAATTGTCTCTTCTTGAATCATTTTTGGTAGTTTTTATCTTTCTAGAAATTTGTCTATTTTATCTTATTTATTGGCATAGAATTCTTGATAGTTTCTCTTGTAATCCTTTTTTATTTCACTTGGTTCAGTAGCAGTGTACCCATTTTCATTGCTGACCTTAAGTAATTTGAGTCTCTTCACTTGTTTTTCTTGGTCAGTCTAGCTAAAGCTTTGTTGATTTTGTTAATATTTTCAAAGAATCACTTTTGATTTTACTGATTTTATCTATTGTTTTTCTATTGCCTCTTTTATTTATTTCCACTCTAATATTTATTTCCTTCTTTCTGCATGCTTTGGGTTTAGTTTGCTGTTTTTTTTCCAGTGTCATCAGTGTAAGTTTAGGTTAATGATTTGAGATTTTTCTTCTTTTTCCATATAGGCATTTACAGCTATAAATTTCCCTTTAATCCACTGCTTTTGCTGCATCCCATAGTTTTTGGTATATTGTATCTTCGTTTTCATTCATTTCAAAGTATTTTCTAATTTGCCTTTTGATTACCTCTTTAACCCATTAGTTATTTAGGAGTATGTTGTTTGATTTCCACATAACTGTGAGTGTTCCATTTTTTTATTATTAATTTCTAATTTCATTCTGTTGCATTTAGAGAATATACTTAGTATTATTTCAATCCTTTTAAATTTTCTGAGATTTATTTTATGGCTTTACTAGCAGATGGCCCATCCTAAAAAAAGTTCCATGAGCACATGAGAAGAATATTCTTCTGTTGTTAGGAGAAGTTTTTTATAGATGCCTTTTGGGTCTAGTTGGTTTATAGCGCTGCTCAAGTTTTCTCTTTTCTCATTGATCTTCTGCCGTTTGTTCTAGACATTAATGAAAGTGGAGTTGTGTTGTTAATAGAAAACAAAGTGGAGTTCTGTTACTGTTGA